ACATTGGCTCGACACAACAAAACTTCAAATCTCACTAATGCACGCGTACGTACGCACGTACGTAGGTACGTACGTACGTGCGTGCGTATGTCGCACGCATGGGATCGCCGCGGAGCAACGGGCGGCGGGGAGGGGGGAAGGACTCCGACGGTACACAACAGCAGCACGAGCGACAGCAACGGCGATGACGATATTGACGATGTTGACGTTGACATTGATGTCGACGTCAACAACGGCGAAACGGGGATGAGACATTCGGCCACGGCGACGTCGCCGCGGCGAATATAGGTTAACGTTCGGGGCGCGACGGTGGTCGCCGTACCCACACATACGCGTACATACGCACACGCTCTCTCTCTCTCTCGCTCTTACAAATTCGTTCATTCGATTGCTCGCTCGGTCGCTCGTCCTCGCGTCTTCGCGTCGTCGCGACGGGTGACGTACGGAGCCGCGGGATGCCGGCGGCGCGGCGGCGGCAGAGCGGCGGCCACCTTGGGGGGCCCTCGCTCCCGTTCTCCAGCGATCGCCTCCGCGTTCGCCCAAGTTTCGAATCTCGCGGAAATTCGACCGTCGAATCCCGGGGGGACGATCGGCAGGATCGGAACAAGGATGAGGGAATCGGACGCGGAATCGCGAACGAGCGCGAGCGCACTCACGCGAACGATCACTCACCAGGGCGAAGAAATTCGTGTGGCAGTCCTCCAGGCTGGCGCCGTTGGTTTGATGCGACGGATGCGTCATGGCTTCTCCATCGTACGCCGTACACTCATTTAGTCTAACACTCGAACGGCGGCACCGTTCGTCGATCTTTATCCCCGCACGCACGAGGGGATTTCGCGCTACGGGCGGGCAAACACCGCGGCTTTATTCACTCGGACCCGTACATTTAGGAGGGTTTTCACTTCTCAATGGCGACCGTAAAATGGCGGCGGGCGGCGGATGGGAAACAACAAGCGCAACTGCCGGGTGCGCCCCCTAACGCTCACTGCCGCAGTTCTAGTTGCCGTCGACGGCTACCGCCGCTGTTGCCGCTGGTGCTGCTGCCGCTGCCGCTACCACCACCAGCACCACTTCCACCACCACCGCCACCACCGCTGCTGCCGCTGCTGCTTCTGCCGGTGCTGGTGCTGCTGCTGCCGCTATTGACACCGCGACGGCGACGACGACGACGACAACGAGCGTGGAAAAGATGGCGGCGCTCATCAGGCATGGCTCGTTCGCCAGCGCGTTGAAGAGTACATCGGCTATCCTCGCCGCCGGCACGGTCAGTGAGTTACGATATAACCCGGACACCCACGCGCACCACTTCCATCACTCCCGGGCGTCGTTTCACGCGCCACTCGCGTCCCGCACGCACGCGCGCGCGCGCGCGCGAGAGTCACCCGCTGCTCGTGGGCGATGACAGCACGCGCGTCACTAACGAGACGTCGTTCATTTTTCGCAGGTGACCGCGACGGCCGCGGCGACGCGTCGCGATATCGCCCGGCACAAGAGCGGCCAAGGGAAGGCCACCAGGGTGGTGGTGAAGGCGCGGATCGACTCCGCCGGGGAATCGCTCGCCGCCCGCGGGTAAGCGCGCGCTGCTCGCCTCCGACACGACTCCGTAACGCCTCGCGTCGCGCAGCCGTAGCCGTACGGCCCGTACGGTGAAATTCGCCTTACGTCGCGGCGCTGCCTGACTAACGGTGGCCGCACCGCAGCCATATTAACCGTTCCTACCACCACTCCCCCGTGCCTCGGCCAATCGCCCGGCGAATCTGACAGGTCCTCAGGGCCGTGCGCGAAGCGTCCTCGCTTCTCCCCTCCTGACGCTCCGTCGCCTTGATCTCAGCGGTCTGCCACGAGACGCGATACCCGATGAAGTAGCTGATCGATTTCACCAAGTAAACCGATTCCCATATATACAATCTTATCCACTAAATTACACCTTTCAAGCTGACGCTACACCTTATTGCAAAAAGAGCGACCGCAGCTATGTCAAGGGTATCGATCGAACCCGGAGCGGGCCAAACCATGGGAAAATTTTTATCTCGGTTAATCACCCGAGGATTATGGGATCGAACGTTTCGTCAATAAAGGGGGCGACGTGTTTTTTCACAGGACAAATTCCCCTTTTGGAAATGTCGGATTTGCAATTCAAAAATGATTTGTTCTTAGGGTTCGCCGTTAGCTTTTAATGATGTTTTATTCCACATCGATGTGAATTCCCCTTTGTTTGAACGCGGTTAATTATTTATACAAATATTGAAAATCAAATATCCTGTTTGAGAAGTAAACGATTTTTGTTTCCACGAATTTCACTTTATCGATGTCTCGGATTTCGCGCGCGGTTACAGACGATTATTTTTCAATTGAAGTTCTCGCCCAAGTCCGCTTGATCGACCACATTGTTATCTTCGTTGGGTTGCCTTCGTTATTCTAATTAATCCGATTAGACACGCGGTGATATTGACCCGCGATGTCTCGTCGGCGCGCGGGTGTCGCTGTCCTTCGAAAAATTAAGTACCACTGTGTGAGTACCACTCCTGACGCTCCTGACGCTCCGCTCCGACTTTTAAGTTCGACCTCCGCTCCTATCTTAAAGTCGGAGCGCGACAAAAAAAAAGGAGTAAAGAAAATGATGCTCGACCGCGATTGTCGAGTCGCCTGCTGTTTACATTTCTGTTTGTGTTTTTGTCGTCAGGTTTCTTTACGTTCGTGTCTCTCGCGTGAGTTTTTTCCTTTAAATATCAGAACCGAGCGAGAATCGGCGTCGAGTTTTTCAAAAGCGGAAGATAGGCGGGTAGGGCGGTAGGCAGAGAAGGGGGACGGGTCGGGGGAGAGAATATCTAGATTTATTTCTACGCGAAATGTCGCAACTACAATAGTCGTAGAGTGGAAAAAACGATTCGGTTCGATATCGAGTTCGTCGACTCCGGGAACGCGAGAAAATCAAATCGCGGGAAAGACTCTCCGTTCGAATCTTTCCCTTCTCGCAATTAACAGGCAGACTAATCGACGAAAGGTGACTCTTCGGACTAGATGCGAAACGATCGCTGACGAGAGCGATCCTCCTCGAGAGTCGACGCGCCCATTAGGGGAGAGGCGGTCGCGATCGGCGCCGCGCGGTGCCTGCGATACACGGGGAGAGATTGATTATTGATTATTGTTTATACGAAAGCGAGCCCGTGTCGGCGTCGTTTCGCGAGTTTTGGCGCGGGGCACCCGGACGCGCCGATCTTCACCGCCGTCCAATGAGAGGGAGAGCCGCGCGCGGTGGCAGCACCGGATGGCGAACGGGCATCGATCTCCTCCCCGCTCCTTCCTCCGCATCCCCCATCCCCCTCCCAGGACCTTTGTCCTTTGTCCTTTCCTCTCGCGCGTCACGACGAATTTCATCGCGCGAGAAAGATAGGGAGAGCGATCTTTCCCGGACTGCGAAAAATTCGGCGCGAGTCCGAACAAACGTCACGATTCGCGGATGGGAAATCGTCGAATTGACGAGGACATTCGTGACGCAGGACATTCGTTGACACAAATAATAAAACTCTTCCTTCACCCCCCCCCTTCTCTCTTTTCCGTCCTACTCAATGAGGGATCCCTCATTTCGAGATTCACGAGATTGTCGTTTCAACAGGTACCAAACATCATTCGCGAAGAATAAGAAATTCGAGGAGAATTATTTTACGGCTCTAAATTATTCGACAATTGCTTTACACCGAGAAATCTCGCGTTGCCGAATTTTAAATACGATCGCGAGGAGGCGCGATCGAGTCGCGAATGTAGAATTATCCTGCTTTCAGATTTCTAAGGCCGCAAAAGGCCTACGAGCCCCCGGAAGATGCGGCCGAGAGGATCGAGAGAATCTGCGAGAGTCAAACCATCCCCCAAAACGACGGCACGAAACTCGAGGATCCTGTCCTTCGCTTTAAACTGTTCGTCGCCTGCGAGGGGGAATTTAAGCATTCCATTCCGAACTCGCTGCTTTACACTATCGAGAGTATCGGTTAGCGTAAAAAAAAAAAGTTTCTCCTTATTAAGCAAGCGTCAAAGGTTCGTCGTATCTGTCAATCGTAGAAAAGAATCCTGGCAATATCGAGGCGAAATTGGCGAACTTTCCAACTTTTTTCTTTCTCATTTATTTAGAGATCCATCTTCCAATCTTCTTTTCAAACTTGGCTTTTCTAACTTTTTTTTCCTATTAATACAAGGCTCGATTATGAGAAACGACGAACTTTTCGCGCTAATCTGACACGAGGGATCGATCAATTGACAATGAATAAATGTGAATCTCGCATGCGTAGGAGACCTGAAGCGGTTTTATTCAACACCGGTTAGCAGCACGACGCCGTACGAAGCGCTGCGCAAAGTAGATTTGCCCAAGAATTTGCACATCCAACAGGATTATCATCGATTCCATCCAGGTGAGACGTCCCGCGGAATTTATAGACTTGCCGCGCCGCTTTTACAACGGCGTACTTTTACGAACGACTTTTTAACGACGCTTAAACGGCGATAATTTTCTTCTCTCTCTATCTCAGATACCGACACGATGTTCAACGGCAAAACGGCGTTCCCGAAAAGCTCCACCCTCGTGACCGGTCTCAAGTACAGGAAGAAGTATCCCGGACACATGCAGGAGAATCCATGGCTGAACGAGCAGATGAAGATCTAAATGGCCATTGTTGTAGATTACGAAAACAAATTGCGAAAGTATCGTTTAAACTGTTTAAAGGCAATAAATTTGTTAAACAACCACCACTCTCCAATTTCCTTGAGGACGGACATTCTAATGTTGCGGCAACGATATTACAATCTCCGCGATAAAACGCTTCTCGCTGATTTGTATGGATATATCGACATTTTTTTTTGGGGGGGGGGGGAATTAAAGTTTCCAGGGAAGACGGGGAGTTGATTGTCGATGTAGCGTAAAGTATTAGGTATAATACTAGGGAAGCCAAGTACGTGATCGCGTAACCACGAATGCGAGCCGTAGTTTCTCCGCGATCGACCCATCGGTCACGCGTAGCAACGTGCCGATGTGGTACCAAGGTACCAAGGCAGTAACGAACGGACGTGGGGCGGCTCGTTTGCGCGCAAGGTGCTAAAGATTAAACCCCGTCATCGCGAACGCGGAACGGAATGCCTGGGATGGCGAGCGCGACCGGCCTCCTGTCCGCGCGAATTCGACCAATTCGCAGACCGAAGCCCAAGGTGAAGATAAAAGAAAAGAAGCTATATTAGCGAAACCGAGGCGGGCGCCACACGTGCGCTCGGCTTCATCCCTTTACGTCAGCCCCTGTCCTTATTTATTCAAAGATCACGTATATATATCCAGAGCGTGGAATTATCGGGTTGTACCCGAGCAGCACCGTTCGCCCTTCGACCGTTCGCCGGCCTCTTTAATCCTTATCCTTACGGCTGCTCGGTGCTGTGCAACCATCCGGCGGATTGCGAGGCGAAGGAGGTGGTTCGACGCGCTAAGGACACATGGGTAAAAAAGTTTCATCCGCCGTACATAGAAAAGACGGATGTGACGCTGTACAAGATATATGTCAAAAGTTACGTGAACAAGAGTAAAATATGTTCATTGTACCAGGACACGTAATGTTTAATTAATTAGAGAAATTGCCATTTTAAATTGCTATGAATTCACAGAACGTTATTGTTATAGGCTACCAGCCTAACAAGACCTTAAATGGCAATTTCTCTAATTAATTGTAAAATTCATTGTTTTATACATTTGAAAATTTAAATGTGTAAACACATTTAATTCCTGTTCGAGTAATTTTATATACATATTTCTTTTACAGGGAATAAAGTCCCAGTAGTAATACGAGACTCCAATGTCTCATCCACTTTGTACCTTAATGCAGAGTAATAGAGCTATAATGTAAACAACCGTTTTACGAAGGCTATATGTAGGGGGAAAAAACTGGAAAAATTGTTATCATCTTTCTCACAAATTTCGGCGTGTCGCCCAGCGACACTCGCGCATTTTTTCACGATACATTTTTCATTAGGCGACCGAGGGAAAAGCTCTTTTACTGCCGGAGGAGATGGAGATGATACGGACGAGCCTGCTGGCAGTGGGCGCAAGCGGAGGCGGAGGCGAGGCCACGGCTGGAAATGTCGGAGGTGGCGGCGGCGGCGGTGATGGTTACAATGCCGAGATGACCGCTTCGGCGGTGCCCGAGGAGCTCTTCCGGAAATACACGGAAACCGATTCGCGACCTTTGACCCCGGCGCCCACGCTCGCCAGCGGCCCAACGGCGTTAACTGGCCGCCCGGCCCAGGAGGATTTGCCGGTGACCTGCAATCCGCGCGAGCGCACCACCCTGGTCCTGGATCTCCGGACGAGCTCGCAGAATCAGCAGGTGGTCGGTGTCAGATACAGAATCTCTACCCCGATTTATCGCCGCTGGTGGTACCTTTTTTTCCGGCCTTTGCCGTAGACAGATTGGCTTATTGCGCGCTCCAAATTTCCCCGTCAAAGAGGAAACGATAAAGCGACCTAAAAATAGTAATTGTTATAGTTCAAATAATATAGAAATCCACTACAAGCACACTAATAAAGATAGGCATACAAAGAGAATGAAAATATAACGAAATCTAAACGAAATACTAGATGTAGGATATAACAAAATTCGAACTAATTTATGTAATAGCACACCGTAGAATTGTAGTTTGTGAGCAGACATTCCATGAGTAGATCCTGTAATCCTGAAGGAATGCTTAAACGTTTCTACATGTTGGAGCGGCGATCAAGCTAGAAGCGACTCTTGTTTGTCTTTATTTGAGTTCGTTCGCGAAGGTGTTATTAGCCGTTTATCTGGGTTTTAGGAAAATGAGACTTTCAGCTGGCACGCTCTCACACTGGAACTGCCGCCTACGCCTCGGAAAAGCGAGATATTTGTCTGCAAACCGATCTCCCGGCCACAACAATCATTAGCGGCACCCGTGCCTGTGCCGCCTCCTCCGTCACCTCCCTCGCCTATCGCTGAAAAATGCGAAACGGTAAGTCTATTTCTTTCCTTAGATGAGGCAGATACATGGCGCCGCCTTTTTCTCGTTGGACATTTTCTGTCACTTAAAAAATTGTACCGTCGCTTATCGGTGAAAGAGCTCGTCTCGAAACGCGGAGGAAGAGGCCGACAGCGAGCAGCAACCGGCAATTACACGAAGACGGGGAAAGCGATTGCGTAAAAGAAAGTGTAGGAGGGATTCGACTTACGGCCAACAAACGGAAGTTCGCGATCCGCTCGAGCCTACGGTGACACAGGTCTCGCAGGTCGGGGATGGATCACGGCGATCGTCGTCAGTATCCGCAAAAAAAATACGCATCTGCATGCGATAATCCTATATGTTTATTTATACCCCAGATAGCCAAGCGTGATAGAGCATATTGATTGAGCAAACTAATTGCGTCAACTGATTGCATCTATAAGCAATCATGTAGCTGTATTTGTAACGTGTTCTATTTCGATGTCAGCAACAGCAAATATATGAAAACACATGCAATGTATTAGTTTTGCTCAATATGCTCTATCACGCTTGGCTATCTGGGTAATGCTGTCTCACCTTGTCCCGAGTTTGTTAAAATTAGTTATGCATTAATTTGTTGGGAACATGGCAGCAAACTCACAGCATTTGACTACCTGGGAAGTGTCGATTGAGCATTTAGAAAAAGAATGATCTCTTTAATGAACCGTAACAGGCTTCACGTAAACACCGGCGAGGTCGATGGCTCCTCGACGTCTCCCAAGAGAACGTCTCCCGCGCAGACAACGAGTCACACGATGCCTCCGAGTTTCCTCGCGCCAGACGTCTTGAAGCACTTGTGCAGAGAGCTAGATCGTGACAAGGTGGAGACGGAATTCTCAATCAAGGTAAACAGGTAGATCTAAATTCAGCCAGTAAACATTTTGTCTATAAATCAATTCGTTTTAGAGACGGATTGCACTAGAGGAAGCGTTGCGGGTGAAAGGCGATACGTACTCGCGCGGATCTCGTCAAACTAGTGCTGGTCCATCGGTGGAAAACGCTCCCCGGATATTCTCCCGTCAAACGGCGCGATTTGAACTGCTCGACAGTCAGAGTCTTCGTGGTATGTTTATATCTATTATTATTATTATTATTATTATTATTTTGTATGATATACAAATGTGTATCGATATTTCAAAATGTGATTCTACTAAAATAAGTAAAAGATATTAGACAAGACGTTTCTGCAAGCTATTATTTTTTTAAACTTTTGTATTTTATAACTTATGATACATTATATATATGCCGTATATTTTTTTACCTATTTTATCTCATCGATTAGAATTCATTCATGACGATGTAATCGTTACAGGATTAACGTCGCTTCAGTATCTCAGCAAGCATGCGTACATCACGTCGGGAAGAAAGCTGATATTCGGTCGAATATTTAATAAGTTTAACGAAGAGGCGTTGCACAGCGCGCGACGCATTTCACCGAGCGACGTCGAAGAGGCTCTTCGGGAAGTGGTCGGCAAGGCATTAACGGACGAACAACGATCTTATATGAAGTCTGTGACAGGAGACGTATCGCAACCACTGGGATTTAGGGAGTGGTGCGGATTGTGCGCCGCTGTCGAAAGGCTGCTGTGTCCTTTGCCGTCGAGGGAGAGCGATCCGCCAACGTGGCTCGAAAGAACGGACTTCGAAGCTCTGGAACGAAGACTCAAGTCAGCCGGAACGGTGGATTCCACGTTGACGTTATTGTTGAAGGAGATTCGTGATAGATAAAATATAACGTTTCTTATTATACATACTCTCTTTTTTTTTTATCACAGTGATCGCTAGTTATAATGTTCGTATCGTGTAAATCTTACGATGAGTTTAATACGTTATAATCATATGATGTAAGCCTAGAAAATAAAACTTTTTCACGGTTCTACAAACGATCCCTATATATATGTATATTCTCGACGAAAAGTGCGCAGCGGATATTAAATAGTTTGGTACTTGAAGCGAACACGCGTACATAAATTATGAGTATTAATTCGTTTGTAAATCACGAATGAAAAACTGTTACAGGATATTTACTACCATTTGATCAATAAACGTGATTATTGAAATAAAATCTATACCTTTCATAAATGTACCAAATTCCGATTGTTACGGTATAAAAAATGGACCATGGACCAATTCATTCGTGACATTGATATGTAATTCTTTTCTCGTACAACTGTTAAATCGAACATTTGTTAATTTCGCACATCAATCACGATTACGTAAAGATTTACGATCTGTTTAAAACATGATGTAATGGAGATCACAAATACTTACTGGACTTTAGCGTTGCTCTACTGATACATGATGCAGGACGAAAGAAAGCTCTTCTCATCTACGTTCATCGCATATTTTATTGCCAGAGCAGACTCGCGTATATCCACTCGAGCGTACATATGTTGCATGCATTCGGTATTCGATTCACTTTTGGTTAATATACAAACGAGTTTTCTCTCTTTTTTTTCTCATTCTTTCGCACTTAACAACACAATAAATAATGAGTCACTTTTGTTTCATCATAAGGATAATATAAAACTGGTCTCTCTCTCTCTCTCTGCATTAGTAAATAAATTAAGTAAACGAGCGGTACGACAAAACGCGTAAAAAGTAATAAGAGTACGGGATCGCGTAGAGAGTACTAGGTCATAATAATACACTACCGGATGTATGTTTTGTGTTTTTCGTGTGTTATCCGTTAATTTTTGTTCGTCGCTCGGTCGGTCGCTAGTCGCTATGTCACATGTTGCACATACAACTAATGTACAAATATAACGAGATGCCTACGCGCCCGCACCAGTGACCAGAAGGAGCCGCGATTACTTGCGTGTACATATGGTTTTTTTTGGTGTACGTGTATATATGTATGTAAATATGTGTATGTATTTATGGGCGCGCGCGCATAATCCTCATGGCCCTGGGAGAACGTACGCACGTACGACACTACTTGGCTAGAGTCTCTATAATACACAGCGCAGCGCTATCCGCCATATAACGAAATTTTCTTTGGGACGTTCCGTTTGATCGAGGTGCGCCAAAAGAAGGATTTGTTCACTTTTTTTTAACACTGTAGCGTTAAAGTCCAGAATAAGCCTTCGGAAGGAAGAGGCACTACCTGCGTTGCCATTCTATGAAACGTTCCTCGCGCTCTCTTCTTAAATCCTTTTTCTTTCTCCCATCCATCGCTGCTCTCTCCATCATCCGTTTAGTATAAAAAAAGTTGTTGCTGCTGTCGCTGCTGCGGGGCAGTGGGACTGGAGTATGACGGTGCGACGTCGCACATGACGACAATGGGCTAGTTGCCGTTCGTGGACCGCTGCGTCGCCGGGATCACTGCGTCCCGTTCAGTCCCGTAGATCTTGCCTGCTTTTCTCGCCATATTTCCGAGCATCTCCATTGAGCATTTGTGTGCCGATCTTAACGAGAGCGCCCACTCTTTCAAGCTTATCTCATCCTATGGCAAGTCAATTATCATTATTAGTAGCGTTTAAAACTTACGAGTGTTCTAATTGTTCAATGATCGTGTTATTCAAATTTTCTGCTTGAGAATCTTAAATCTCTTCCATTTCGAGACTCATTAATAGGCTCTAGCCCTCATTAATAGTTTTCATTAATGTATGAACTATCCAACATTGAAACTTGAAAGTTTCCACCTTGAACTATTTGAACAGTTAGATCATGAACAGTTAAGGTCACTTGTCTGAATTCTAATTGTTGCATTTTATCGCAAAGTATATCATCAATAGAGACACTGAAAGATTCACTTACGGCATTTGTAAGTACGATTTTCGCGTCCCTCGTACGCATTATAATGCACTGTTCCCCTTTTACGAGCTGTAAGTCCGC